CGACGGTGCAGCCGAAGTGGGCGGCCAGGTCGCCGATGAGGGCGGTGAGGAGCCCGATGAGGAGGATGGAGACGCCGAAGCAGGCCCAGCCGTTGCAGTACTCGGTGGGGGGCACGCAGGCGAAGAGAACCTTCCAGAAGACCGTCAGGAAGTGCATCACGTAGTCGAAGCAGGAGGGCAGCCGCTCCTCCCGCCCTTCCTCCTCCTCCTCCTCCTCGCCTGCCCGAGAAGGTCATCGTCAGCCCCCTCCCCCTCTCGCATGGGGACAATGGGCGCCCGGCCCCGGGGGTGAGAGGTTCTGGGGGGGTGGCACCAAGGGTGGTGGCCCCAGGGCATGTGATTTTGGGGTGGTGGCACCAGGGTGCATGGTTCTGGGGTGGTGGCACCAGGGGTGGTGGCACCAGGGCATGTAGTTATGGGGAGGTGGCACCGGGGGTGGTGGCACCAGGGATGATGGACCCAGGGGTGATGGACCCAGGGTGGTGGCACCAGGGGTGGTGGTACCAGGGCACGTGGTTCTGGGGGGTGGCACCAGGGTGGTGGCACCAGGGCACATGGTTCTGGAGTGGTGGCACCAGGGTTGGGGGCCCCAGGGGTGGTGGCACCAGGGCACGTGGTTCTGGGGTGGTGGCAGCAGGGGTGGCGGCACCAGGGGTGATGGACCCAGGGTGGTGGCACCAGGGTGGTGGCACCAGGGCACATGGTTCTGGAGTGGTGGCACCAGGGTTGGGGGCCCCAGGGGTGGTGGCACCAGGGCACGTGGTTCTGGGGTGGTGGCAGCAGGGGTGGCGGCACCAGGGGTGATGGACCCAGGGTGGTGGCACCAGGGTGGTGGCACCAGGGCACATGGTTCTGGAGTGGTGGCACCAGGGTTGGGGGCCCCAGGGGTGGTGGCACCAGGGCACGTGGTTCTGGGGTGGTGGCAGCAGGGGTGGCGGCACCAGGGGTGATGGACCCAGGGTGGTGGCACCAGGGTGGTGGCACCAGGGGCGGCGACATCAGGGCACGTGGTTATGGGGTGGTGGCAGCAGGGGTGATGGACCCAGGGTGGTGGCACCAGGGTGCATGGTTCGGGGGGGGTGGCCCCTGTCCCTAGAGCCCTGTCCCCAAGGCGCAGCCTCCTGGTGGCCATCTGTACCCAGGGCTGAGTGTCCCTGTGTCCCCAGGCTGGGTGTCCCCGTCTGTCCCCAGGGCTGGGTGTCCCTGTGTCCCCGGGCTGGGTGTCCCCATGGCTGTCTGTCCCCAGGGCTGGGTGACACTGTGTCCCCATGTCCCTGTGGGTGTCCCTGTGTCCCCGTGGCTGTCCCCATGTCCCTGTGTCCCCATGTCCATCTGTCCCTGGGGCTGGGTGTCCCCGTGTCCCGGTGTCCCTGTGTCCCCATGGGTGTCCCCGTGTCCCCATGTCCCTGTGTCCCCATGGGTGTCCCCGTGTCCCTGTGGGTGTCCCCGTGTCCCTGTGGGTGTCCCCGTGTCCCTGTGGGTGTCCCCGTGTCCCTGTGGGTGTCCCCGTGTCCCTGTGTCCTCATGGGTGTCCCCGTGTCCCCATGTCCCTGTGTCCCCATGGGTGTCCCCGTGTCCCCGTGTCACCATGTCCCTGTGTTCCCATGTCCCTGTGTCCCTAGGGGTGTCGCCATCCCGTGGTGTCCCCGTGTCCCCATGGGTGTCCCCGTGTCCCCGTGTCACCATGTCCCTGTGTTCCCATGTCCCTGTGTCCCTATGGGTGTCCCCATGTCCCCATAGGTGTCCCTGTGTCCCCGTGGGTGTCCCCATGTCCCCGTGTCCCTGTGGGTGTCCTTGTGTCCCCATGTCCCGGTGTCCCTGTGTCCCCATGGTGTCCCCGTGCCCCCCCTGCGCTGACGGTGATGGCCTCCAGGAACTGCTCCCGCCAGGAGTGGGTGCCAATGACCATGGCCAGGTTGGTTTTCTTGATCAGCTTGTCCACCGTGTTCTGGGGGGGGACGGGACACGGGGACACAGGGACACGAGGGGGGGGGGGGGGGGGCCCCCCCCCGCCCCGCCGGTACCAGCCCTTACCCGGAGCCCCCCGAGAGCGAGCAACCCCGCTTTTGGCCCAAAACACTGCGCAGGGG